GGGGAGTGGAGCAAACGATCTTAAATTTCTATATCAATATTAATTGAAGACATTGGAAAAATAGGGAGAGGAATTCATAGCCCACTCAATGCAGACATAGAGCTTAGCATGAAAGTATTACCAAGATAACAAACCATAAAACATTAAAAGGTTTATGAGTGTATGAATAACATAGAAGTACAGAAATGCGTCACCAAGTTTCAATCATAAATACTCACTCGGTTGTCATTTCAACATCATTTTCGTGTTCTCTTAAGCAATCAATGTATTTTTTAGGAGATCTATCCATACAGTGTTTCTACAGAAAAATAATTGTGATGAAAAGACAGAAGCAAAAATATTTTTCAACTTGTATGTAAATTCCAAGAGCATAGACAGTGACATTCTTAGTCTGGTCAGAGTTCATCCTCTGAATGAAATTTCCTTAATTTGCAATCCTAATCAAAATTAGATCGAACAGTTCTTGCGATCAATGTTACTTTATTGACTGTTAATGAAACATTGCACATTGTAAACATTGCAATTATGAAAACTTGGAACGTTTATTTTAACACCGCAATTAATTTTAAACCCCTGAGTAGTAACTTTTAAGCAGCTACATATTCTTTACTCTGCAGTCAGCAGATTTTCCCATCTTTCCAAGAATTCTTAAACATAAAAAATGAAGGTGCCCATGCCACAAATAAGCTACTAGGATTTGCTATAGATATGCCTCATTGTAATTTATAGTTGGTTATTAGACCTGAGAAGTACATTCGCTGCGAATTCAAAGCAAAATGAATGACAACGAGATGATTTCAAACCTTCAACATTGATTTGCACGCATGGGTTAACTGGTAATCCAGAGCTGGATTTTCGGCTTCTTCGAGCTAAAAGAATTGTAAAGTTTATACAACTGTGGATTTGATAAATCAAAGTTTGAAAATACATTAAATTGATCTGGTGATTATCATACAGCAACACAAACAGTCAAAAAACTGAAATCTCGAACTGCATTCGTTAAATTCTAGCTAGTAAATATTCCTTGCTGAGGTAACTCATATATCCTTTGATTATTCTCTTGCTACAGGCTTTTCTATCTTTTGCATTTATCAGCATCTTTATTCATCAAATGTACTTAGGCAAAGTATTGCACGTAATTCGAAGATTTTTAAATGAATTCATGGAATAAGCTACACACTCAATCGTTGGCTATTTTCACAATGGCAATTTAATCGTATGACAATAATTATATTTTGTTGAATTAATTAGATAAAATAAATCACATACTAAAAGTTAGATACTTGGGATATTTTTGTATGCTCAATTCGTGCATATATCAAAATAACGACACGTCAATAGCTGAAAAGCTCTTTTACCCTGCATTTTCACGATAGTATGGTTGTTTGACAACATACCTCAACTTTGAACAATACAGAGCGGCATTTTTGTGTCAGACTTTCGAAATGCTGTCGCAAGCATTCTTCAGCCTATTAACAGCGAAAAAAGAAAAAATAAATAATCAAAAATTATAAAAAAATGGTGAGCAATTCTTGATTGATGGCTTGGATTGTTATTTGATTGGCATGTTTTGATCCACAACTGGGTATATATTTTCCATCTTGTTCTTTCGAAACCTTATTCTGACGTTTTAAACTCCAAAGAATGTCAGACGAAAAAGCTTTAATTGTGATAAAATGATAATGATAAAAGGAAAGATAAATATAATTAATTTTCCTATTCTAAAGATCTAAAATCTAAGTTTTGGTTCAATCGAACTTTTGTGCTGATGATACGTCGATCATAGATACCTTGGCCTGTCCTTTGTGCATATACTGGTGGCACGGCTTATCCTCACTCGATAAATCTTCTTGGCATGCATTTTGGAATTCGGGATCAAGATTAACAATGTCCTCGTGCTGGAAAATAACATAGATATCAAACAATATATAAAATCAAAGAAAAGATCGAGGCTAGTGACTGCTATATCATCACTTTTTACAAACTATTTATACAAGGACGTTGACGTAAACAAAGCACTTGACAATTTTTCACATAGTGGCAAAGGCAAAAAGTCGCAAATTCTACATTGAAATGTGCCCCATCAGAAGGCAGAGGTAAAACATAAACATAGAAAGAGAAACGCCATCAACCATTGGGACATTGCAAATTGTGTTGAAGGGAATTATTTTGAAACAATGCTAAAGACATGCTACGGATATGGAACCCAAAGCGGTAGGCAGGCGAAAAACAAACAACCATAGAGGACCGTTCGTAAGAAAACGCACGTGATTGCTGTTGTATCTTTGGTGTTCTTCTGCTGACTCAAACAACAAAACTGTTACATGTTGGTCAGTAGGTAACGACTGGATATGAGAGAGAACCGTTTGACAACTTACCAACTCATACAAGCAATTGTCCCAGGACTTTTCATCAATTAACCTCTTTTAAACAAAATGACTTTATATCTGTCGTGTGTCTATCAATTCTAAACTTGGCATAGTCTATATTGCCGTAAGATATGTAGAATGGGTCACTTATAACCATGAAGGTTTTTATCAGTACGTTAACAAACATAAATACCTCTTCAATAAGCTCAGCCCTTATTTGATCCTGACATTCTTGCGACACCGCTGACTGACGATTTTCTTTAATGTTTTTCTGCATTTCTGTACTTAGACATTTGACTGCGTCAAGCCTGAAATAAATTCAATTTAAATTTGACAACACACTTAAATTCAGATATTTTATGAAATATTTTAGAATATTTTTAAAGCACACAGCAACTCTGGAAACTAAAAGGGCTACGAGATTATTTGGTTTAATAAATCTAGTTGTAAATCAACAAAGAAAGACACGTTGAAAGCAAAAGACAACGTAGAAGACGAAAATAACAACTTGCAACCGACTGACTGAGCAGCTAACACTTACTTTGACTTAGAATGGGGACAGTTCTTTTCAATGTCATCAAAACACGCTTTCTTTAGTTTATGGGAAAATCTGATGTCTTTCAGTTCGAGCTAAAATTGGACAGAAGATTGTTATTTTTCTGCCTGACATATTTGCAATACTCTGCTAGATACAATTCATGATTTTCTTAACAAAAATAAAGACACAATAGAAGAATTGCATAGTTATGACAAATGAAATGACTTTAAATGTCCCAATTAACGGTACAAAGAAACAACCGAAGTAACAATACGAAAACATCACGATTGCGAAAGATTGCTTTAGACAGTTCAGTTTAGACAAATGGTTCAGAATAAGAGAAACAGGAAGATGCCCAAACTGGGAGACTTCGAATTATGCCTCAATTTGACAATCGGGGAGAAAATATTCTTGAATTATACCAGAAAAAAAGAACGATGTAGTAAAATTTCCGGTTCCTGAAAATGGGATTCGATATTTGAGATGTGGCTTTTGACATGCAGCAATCGAATTCTGCAAAATTTAGCAGCATAAAGAAAGCACGTGGGCCTAGATTTAAATTGCTACGGGGCTATCAATGTTTACAAAAATTCAAATACTTAGAGCCTGGTTTATATTTTTTGGGTGAATAAAGAAAAGGCCACGATAGCAGGCTGTTCGATGGAATTTTTGCGGCGAAAAAGCGATAAAATGTAGTGCATAAGTAACACCGCAACGCGAACAGAATAAACAACAACAAACACACATGAATCAGTAATGGCTATCTATTTATGCGTATTTGTTGTTGTTAATTCTCGTCGTGTTGCGGTGTTACTACATTATACTTTTTTCACTAGTAGCCTCATTCTGGATGCAAAACTAAGAAGCTTGAATACGAGGCTTCAATGTTTGATAATTCAAGTTGTAAAAGAATATACTTTGAATACGTGTATATCATCCTTGCCAATATACACAATGACTATACATTTATCTGTGTTCAAGAGCATGACACTGAAGTCAAATTCAGCTGATAGTAACAACATACGATTTGCCAGTGTTCAACTGCCGAAGTGCACTGTAAATCCATCTCTGAACTGTGCTTGTTTTTAATCAAACACGGTAGGACTTCATCTGGATTGCCATCTTTAACTACATCCTGAATGGAAAGAGATTTGCCTTTAAGCAGAACGTCCTTTAAACACAAGGAAATTGAATATTCTTAATAGACAGTTAACTTCTTAAGGTTCTTAAGATAAAAACCATCAACAACCATCAATAATTGTTCTTAAATTATACAAACATAAACATTATAATCATTGCATTTGATAAACGTGTACAATACGTTACCTGACAAAATTTTATAACCATTGGCGCACAAGCATTAACGAGATCCTTATCCAGTTCATAGTCCTGCAAAAAATAAAATATTGGCTTTTCAATCGAGAAAAACCATAACAAGGAAAAATATATTAAATACTTAATAAACAGAACGCACAGGACAGTAGAATATGGCATAATTAATTTAAATGCGGAAAAGAAATATAAAATAATGCATTAAAATAAAGTTTAATACAATTCAATACAGTACAAAACAATAAAGCACAATACAATAAAGTACAATACAGTAAAATACAATAAAGGGCAATACAATACAATAAAGTGCAATAGAATACAATACAATACAATACAATACAATATGATAAAATACAATGCAGTATATATGCATTACATAATAAATATATGCATAATATGCATTACATTATAAATATTACAATACCCCTGTTTTACCTCAGATTCCATTTCAGTGAAATTGGCAACAGCCCCTTTACATTTTTCAGATAAGTCTTCGTAACGGTCTTGCAAGCACTTTACCTCCTATGTATGGAAAATGAATATTTTTGTGGTTTAATTTTTTATAAATATCAAGAGAGATTCAAAGAATTTCAGTTGAAGTTTTCAGTTCAAAAGTGAAGAACAAAGCTGCTTTTTCATCAAACATATACTTATCTGTTACTGCTTTTCACTGCAAACAAATTCATGTTTTAGGTGCAGAAGTGAATAGAGAATGGCTGATAGTCTAAATTGAATTCTAGCTCCACACGTGGATTGAAAAACGCGCAATATGCTCCATACCTCTCCTTCCTTGATGCTTCCGACGCAAAAGCTTCCCAAGTCGCCCAGACAGGCTGTCTCTATTTCTGGCATGAGTTTCACACTGGTTGCTCTTGCATGCATCAACCTTCTGACATGGGCACCGCATGTCGGAGAGGCCTGTGATAGGACATCAAGGAAAATGTGTTTAAAATGGACTAGATTGGAAGATATTTGAACAACATTTTTCATCTGACGTAAACGGGCTCAACAAGCATGTGAACTTAGAATCTTAACAGTCACGTTTATGTCCTTAAAAATATTAAGAGAGAATTATTCAAATAACATAATTCCTTAAAGATAATTTTGATCATTCTTTGAAACATGAAAACAAATGAACTTCTAGTTCTAATAGCTCTTATTCTGTCTTCTACTTGATAGTGGTCGGTTCCACTCAAATGTGATGAAATAATCAATTTTTGTTCTCCTGCCAATCGACTTTGCAGAGCCTCCTGAAAAATGTTAACACTCTACCTTAGCAAAAATTATTTCTTTGCACCCAATTGATGCTTAACTCGGTTTATTAAGGACTTCAATTATTATGAGTCATCGTCTTGATCAGGTTGATAGGGGAGAGGAACATTGGTGCTAGTGGCTCATCTGCTAACTTAAGCCCTGGCCAAACAAAACATTATCATAAAACATCATCCAATGCTGTTGGATAAGACATATTTTTTTCGTTTAGCTACCATCTTAAACGATGTTTTACGATGTTTTTTAAAATTCATTGCATGGTGGAAGAAAGCATTAAACGTCTCAAAAATACCTGGTGTTCTTTGCTAACATCCTTCATAGTTGCACGATACAGACACGCAAATATAATACCAGGTGGGACTGACGTGAATTCAGCATTGAAATCAGGGGCATTGCAGATTCGCTTTGCATCATCTTTGCAGTCCATGAAGAGTTGCTCGTCAAGACTAAGAAACAGACAGAACCAGCAAATTAAATAATTTACTGTAAATGTCTTCAAAATCTTTTAAAAACACTATGGACTGTAACCAGATCTTCAAAAAGTGCTTAAAGGGAGTGGACAGTAAACTACTTTGAATAACAGAAATTTGCAGTACTGATGCAGAATATATTGCGTGGCTATTCTTGTTGCACAGGCCCTTTATGTGGACGACTTGATGGCAGTGACTACACTGAAGCCTTAGGAACAACATCCAGTTTTTGAGAATAAGAATTTAGATGACTGTCATCCTTTCAATTTAAGAATCTAGGCTCTATTCCACTTGAGCATTGACCTGTTCTATGAACATCACAGTGGTTTTATCTGATGCATTAAATGACATTATATCTTGAAAATTATTCACCCTTTATTGTATGTGTAATTTTAACAGTGTTTGTTACTTCCTAGCTTTCGAAGGTAGTTTTTAGGACACTGAGAAGCAGTGCTTATCGAGCAGTGTGTTGGTTCTTCCTCCCGATGTCACCATACCTTGTGATTTCTATGACTGGAATAGCTGAGAATTGGTGACTCTCCGCACTCTAAGCGAAAGTTTGGTCATGTCAGAGACTTGAACAACAGACCCTTTGCAGTGGCAGACACCTGGGGGCGAGGGTAGGTCGTCCCCCAATACTTTGGAGGACAATTGTTTTTTGTTCTTAAACAATCGGGAAATGTAACGCCATCTTATTAAAACAATGGACTTGCCCCCCCCTAAATATTTGACCAAGTGTCCACCCTCGAACCCTGGATCTGTAGCCTGTGACGCTAACCACTGAACCATAAGCCAGAACTCCAAATAACCACTTAAAAAACAGGTTGAGGTCAAGCTGTGGTAACTGAAAGTCTTTTCTGCTGATTGGCTTTACTCACAGCCGTAATTTGTAACACCACCACTTATTCTAAACACTGCAAAATGAAACACAAAAGACACTAACATCCTGATCTTCAGTCAGCCACGCAAAACAACTGATTATAACCGCATAAGACTGTATCCAGCTAATTTGAAATACCTGAAATCTCTTGCAAGGAAAAACTGCAGGTGGAAAAGTTCTTGCTGACAATCTTGTGACATTGATTCAGATCGCATGTTGTCCATTAAACAGCTTAGAACTCTGTGTGGAAAGAAAAATTGCAAAGTTACACAGGTTCGTTTATTGGCTGAATGGCTGAACTTGAATCAGACAGAAGATAAAAGGAACAACAAATAACTGAGAGCCGAGGGCAATTCTAAAGTTACTAAATACAGATGAAATTATGTTACACTTCGGTACTAATAACTTTCAATTTAGTTGTTTTACTTTTGCCTATTCTGTTTCACAAGGAGTTTCTTCCTAGGTACAAAAATGCTAGCAACACGTTTCTACAAGAGTAAATCCGCAGGATAAGTTGCTTACAAGATAATTTCACAAGACTGATCTGCTTTGATGTAAAACGGTTTCTTAAGGTAAAGGAGTTTTGTACTAATGTTTTAACCGGTTTATCGTTCTTTAATTGTATTTTTGACACAGAGGTTTAGTGAGAACTCACAGTGATTTTGATTTTCCCTTGCAACTGGTTTCAATAAACGGCTGGCATTTTATAAACAACGGCTTGTCGATTTGAAAGTCGCCACCTGCGTTGGTTTCCTTCAAAACTTCATGAACCTTAAAGACAGAACAAGTGCGTAATTATTCAGATGATCTTCTAAGCAAAATTATAAAAAATCCGCCACAAATATTTACATGAATTTAGTAATCTTTATTAAATAATTCTCATAGAATGTATTCGAATAGTGCAATAATCTGACTTCAGAAGGAATTCCGATTAATGTCTCAGAAATACAATGGATCTAAGTTCGAATCAATGTCCTGGCACACGGGATTGATTTAAAACTAATAAAAATATAATAAGGAATACAAAGAAACCTACATCATGAGGACTGTCCCGTACCCAGGATTGCCCTGAGGGATCGAATTCACTGCTAAGGGTACTGGTGCTCGTGGAAATAACCCACACTAAGTCCAACGGGAGGGGGGGGGTGGTTGTTGGTTCCTTATTATGTCTCTTGTTACGAGAATGATGACAAATAAACAAAATCCGGAACAACTGTTCTAAAAACCATATTGAACGCTGTTCCTCCTAGTTCTATAACTATCCTTTTCGCTCAACCAATAATCTAACAGGTTTGCTACTTTTTCTTTCCGTTTCTTTTCCAAACAGTCTAAAAAATGAATCCATACCGCTTCGTAGCAGGACTGATTCAGTTGATCTCCCAATCCCATCAAACAGTCTAACGCACCACCTTCTGCTTTCAGTTGATCTTTGCAAACCGTTTCCAAGTGATGGCTACAATGTGCTATAACTTCTGGGTTTAATTTATAATCGGCAAACAGCTGGGAAGCGAAGTCTTGCATTTCGACTTGGCACTTTGCACTTACATCCTTGCCTGTGTTAGATAAAAATAAATTTATTTCAGATATATACATTTAAAATGTCTCCTGCAATCAAGAAACTGGTCATGCGATCTAGAAACTAGCTTAATTAACTGAGAGTAAAACAAAAGAAAAAATCGATCTTAAGAATAAATCAACGTCGCTATGATGAAGTATACAACATTATTAGGTGACAGATACAGGGGCTTCCTCTAAGAATGTTCCAATAATCCATTGTTGTGTCTTTTTGTTTCAATGTGTCCCATCAATGCATGAAGTGTTCCCAAACCCAACGTATTGCCCCCTTTTTAGAAGTTGTTAATAAGCCCAAACCTCGAAAAATACTGAATCCTTACATGCAAATCTTTAAAATGCATTATTCAAGCAAATGATGAATCACACATTCAACAGGAAAAGGAAATAATGAAAAACGATTGTTGTGAGCATTGATTCAACTTGAAAATTGAACTTGTGTGATGATGTGAAAAAGCCCCAACCTTTGTTTAAGCTCTTCCCTCTAATTAGCCCCCATCAAAACGTCGAAAATTAATAAGCCCAAGGGGGAGGCTGTTTCGAGGATTTACGGTAATCATTTTGCAACAAAGAATGTTAACAATGAAATGAAACTTATGTGACGAACCATCGGCGATCTTCTCATTGAGACACAAAATCAAATGTGATGCTTGGCCATTCGAAGTCTCCCCTTTTCTCTCGCATTTAAACTCGTGGAAATACTTCTCACATTGTTCCCATAAAGGATGATTGACCTGCAAAGATAATATCGTAAAACCCTAGCAGCAAACACTGATCGCCTATACCGATTCTTAATCAACAACACTTCCAAAAGGCGGTCTTTTCGTATATATATATACAGAAGTTCTGACACAACTAATTTTGAAGGCTGTTCGTTAAACAGAAATTCTTCAAACTGCGGTTTCACAAAATTTCATAAAACAAGAGCATTTTGCTAAACAAAATTGAAGAAAACATATTTTACCAGGAAGTTCGTTTAATTAGAATACGTTAAATTCCAATCTAATTTTATTGGAATAAGTTCAACGTTTAAAAAACTGGTCGTATAAGGTGATTGAAGATTGAAGAATGTTATCAGCCGCTATGTTGCGCTGGTCAGACCAGCACGGGCTTCAAATCTGAAATCAAGCAAAAATACAGCAGGATCACAGAATCGGAGAGGTAATTTGAAATATCAAACATAAAAACACACCTTGACATCCTCTTGCATTAGCTTTTGCCTGACTGTTAGAGCTTCTCGACACTAAGATGAAAACAACGAAGATGTAAGTGAATTTCAATTGGTGCCCTTTATACCCTAGAATTTTAGCTACCTCACTTTTGGGCTATTCATTTAAAGAAAATGAATTAAGGACTTGATGGCTCACCTGCAAATTTGCTCAGACTGTAGTAGAAAAAAATTTATCAAGTTTGGGGACATTTAGCAAAACTTCACGGAACGTTTTCAATTAATAATGCAAAATATTTTTGGAGTTATACTTTACTGTCTTCTGTTTTAATCATTTCTTTAAGACTCTTACGATCTTCTGGAGAGGAAGCGCTACTTTACTGCATACAGAAAGCCTCATTTTTATGTTTTCTTTTCTTTCTAGCAACATGATAACTATAATCTTTTTCACAGCTTAAAGGCATTCGACACGGGTAAAAGTGGCTTACAGCCACCTGACCCCCACCGGTTGACCAATAGAATTGTGCAGAGAGAAAAACATGTGAACAGTTTCCGCTTTTCTGAAAATCAGCGAAACCCTAGAGTGATTTTACGTGAGTAGTTTCGGATTCCTTCCAAACGCGCGTGCTCTGGTCGAGTTATTTCTAGGTTCGCTGTACTTATGCATGTCAAGTGCCTTTAAACCGATGTTGACTGATGGAGGAGAAAAAATTGGCGACTACTCTAGGCTCTACTTCAATACGTCAAAATCTTCGCAACAAAGGAAAGGCTGAATGGGGTACCCGTCGCAAAAATTCAAAAATCCCTTAGCTTTAAGCAAAAGACGAGGACACAATATGGATAAAGTAAACACAACAGCTTACATCTTCAGCCATTGTTTCCTCCATTTTGTGTTTCATGAGGCATTTATAAATACGTCCATCCCCAGCTTGCACCGTTGAGCAAAATCTTGTTCGCGCATCTTGACATGCGTAGAAAATTGCCCGGTCCATGTGATAATCGTCGGATGACAGTTCGGCGACTTTCTTAATCTCGATCTGACACTTTTCCGACACGTTTATGATATTGTCTTCGAGGCATTCGATAACCTCAGCTTGCGTGTGTGGATCCTGAAAAATGGTTGATCGATACCCATTGCTTTACGATGATAAAGACTTAATACAAGACGCAATAAGGACTTAAAAGCGATACACAGTATTGACCATTCAAATAAATCAATACTTTACTACTAAGCGTACGAACTAAGCTGACGGGTTGTCCTAGAACAAAAAGAAACTAAATTTGTTGTATTGACACAGACAATCACTAAACACAAACGAAATCTATTTTCTAAATTTTCATATTGACACAAACAATCTTAAACTGGTGACAAACGAACTCTATTTTTGAAAAAATCAATTTTCAAATAATAGCTATTATCGAAATTTGCTGTAACAAGGACTTGTTCGGAATTCTATTTTGAAGCATCAACGTTTTTGAAAAACGAAATGTGACAAATTTCATTGCTCAAACTCTCGTGCATCACAAGAAAAGGAAGTGAAACCAGAATCGATTGCATGGACGATTGTACAGCAACAACAACAGATTAACCAATTAAAACATCAAAACAACCAGCAGATGACAAAAATCCATATCAACATATGTTTTTTGCAGAGTCTAGGCAAAAAACACGAGACTGCAATGTCCATACTACCAAAAATCATGGACTTACACTTTCTGTTTTTGTTGATAATTTACCACAGTTATACTTGACGACGTCTTGATGACATTCATTGTAAAAGCCCTTGATCAAGCGATAGTCGCTGTAAACAATAGCAGCCATTTTGTGCAAGAATGCACGACATTTCTGGTCCTTGGCTAATTCTCTGTGCTCAACAAGGCAGTTGACGAATGACCCGTCGTTTGGGAAATCTCCTTGGCAGTATTTAATCTGAAACAAAACAAATAATTAGCGGAAATAGGAACAAAAATAGAAAGAGAAGGATAAGATAAAAACTTAGAAACATATGAAAAGAGGAGAAAGAAAAAACCACACTTTGATAAAGAGTTGGAAAAGAGCAGCATGGAAGAAGGAACAAACATCCCAAGGAATCCTTTTTTTGTTAGGCTAAAGAGTGTGCCCTGTATATGAGCTTACCAGAGGAAATAAGTGTGAATATGGCATGGGGAATAGGGTGTAATTGGATGGCATTGACAATAGGATAAAACACGTGACAAAACAACACGAATATGTTGGTTTGCCGATATTCTGCTATTTAAAATATCGGCAAATTGTCATTTCATTGTGGCTGTAAATTGCTAAAATTATCACGGTTACCTACCTCGCTAAGAAATGTTTCACAGACTTCAAACGCTGCCTTGTCAAACATAACACTTGATGTGAGGTTTTTCTTGTATTCCCACAATAGCTGCATAATTGATTGAAGGCATGATTTAGAATGCACATTATTTTTATAATTGACCCACAAAAGGGCAAGTATAATTACTTTGCTTTCAGTGAGTTAATACCATAAGCTATGTTTATATACATCAAAATATCAAAATATTTCATGCTAGTTTCACATCAAAGAAGAGTTCAAAGCAAGCTTTTGAAAAATTCAAGTTAAGTGACTGTTCTAAGAAAGACTGGATAAATCGAGCTTTTAGTGTCACGGTGTTCTCTTTTTAGTTGAATACACTGACATTATCAACAAAGGGAACTAGGCCTAGTCTCGATGGTTGCAGAGTTTGCTAATGTTCTATATTTTTATGTTCTAATGCTCTATATAAAAAGGGCTATATTTTTTCCAACAAGATCTTCGTTCATTGGCATTTTTGTCTAAGCTGCCATCAACTTGGATTTCTATTTTCTTGTGGGAAAAGGCACAGCTTTGTGTTCTACATTTTTACCCAGGCGGTTGCATTGTGCTGACCTTTTCTAATTGAGAAGAGTCAATATGGATGCTCAAAAATGGCTTCCTGATTCTGTTATTTGCGAACAATATGCTCTAACAAGTCTCTTTTTTGAGATATGCACTTGATGTACACTGCCTGAACAAATAACCGCAAGTGCCGTAATTCTACATACCGCGTGACAATCATCAGAAACTTGGTCGTCGTCTTGCTGAAATAAAAAATTTTCATCGTCAAAAATGACATTTCGTTATCAAACAAGTTGAAATGTATTCGTGGGAAACGTTCAAGTATTTTAAAGAGGCAGTAAAAGTTTCAATAACAGCGTTTAAACAGTTGATACTCATTACGTAACAAGAGCGAGCAATTTGTTTTTCGCTGCAAATTTGCCAATAATTTGCACGATAACAACTTCAAAATTCGTACAAATAGATATTGCAGACAATTAACCATACACAGATATGATTATCAAAATGAAATGCTAATTAGAAGGATCAAAAAATTCTTACTGCTGCTGCATCTTGTAGACAGACAAGGACAGCAAAATTGTTATCCTTTGGTAGATTTGAGCACAACTGCTTTATATCATCGACACATGCTGGTTGTTTTGACAATTTGAAGCCTTTGACATTATCTTGCCCCTGTTTTTTCAGTACTTTTACAACACCAAGGCCCTTTTTGCTGGGCTTTTGGTTTTTCTTTTCTTCAGTTTCATTGCTTTGAGAATCTTCTTTTTCCTTCTCTACAGCTTCATTACTGTGCCCATCATTTTCCTCTTCTATTGTATTCTTTTCATGTGGTTCCACTGGTGCTGCTTTGTCCACATGATGCGCATTTTCATCTCCCTTATTCGATTTCATTGCTTGCCCATGATCATCTACATCCTCTGCTGGTTCTTTAGACTCTTCTTTTGGCACATGTTGTTCCACGGGATGATGCCCTTTTGTTATAACAATACTAGTTGGTTTAGAGTTTTTGTGTTTAACATGCCCTGCTATTTTTGAAGTTTCTTTTGGTGAATCTAAAAAGATTTCAAGCTTGCATTAGAAATGGAAATTGTTTTGTCCTAAAAAAATACAAAAAACTGAGATGTTCCAGATATAATGAACTTGTATGTGCTAAATAATATTTTCACATAAATGATCACAACTGTAACTAAGCAGTGTTCTGCTCTTTTAAAGCCAAAAATAATGTGAACACTCCTTTTTTAATTGAAAAAACACAGCAACGAAGATTGTCTGCTAGTCTTTTGTTATAATAAACTAATGTTCAACTGTTCAATATTATATACATTTGAAAATCATAGGTTTTATTAAAGCACATAACTTCATAATGTCATCTGAAATAAGATTTGTTATATCAGACTTTGTCATGCGATTTGTCTTTAACTAATTCACATTAAAAATTTATAGATGAGTCCAACATTTGGTGTCAAATATAAATGATTAATAGACTAAGGGTAAATGGTAGAGAAAGCTTTTTAAGACCAGTTTTTACTCTATAGGCCTACTTTTTAACAAAGCCATTTAAATAAAAAACTTTATAATTCATTGGTCAAGTATAATTAGCAGCAAAAATTGACATACATTCTAACAAATAACACATTTATTCCAACAAGAAGACATGCTAAACTGGGGCTACCACCCTCAGGCGCTTAAGCGTTTGGCCAAAAAATGCATTATAATTATTGGTTGTCTGAATCTCAATATCTTTATGTGTTGGGTTCAAATAACCACACACCAAGTCCAATTCTATGAACCTAGCAAATTTCAGTTAGCATGTCTATTGAGGTCAAATTAGATGCTTTTGGGCAAGAGATTTTTACATTACCTCCCTCCCCTTTTCAGACTTGAACCAAGCATTGCTACCTAAAGTATCTCCAAATCACAGGGTTTCGTGGGGAAAATATAGCAGGCATGTTAACCACAGCACGCCTGAAAACATCCAGGTGTATGGTGGCGTGTGACATAACAGGTATAAAGTCAGCCTAATTAATATGTCAGCAAAAACACAGTACTGCAAGTACAAAAAAATGCTTGCGATGTCATAAGCAGTTTTCATCAGCTTCAATAATGAATCCTTTGCTGAGTAATTGATGCTTTGGTGTTCATCTGGTTGTAATGGCTGTTTTTGAGTGTAAATCCGTGCCCCTGAGGGCCCTCTGCTTTCAAGCATTGCAGCTATTTTATGTACTTGACTGGCCAGATGTCAATAATCCATAAAGTACATGCATAAAAGGAGATGATGGGCCTTTTTTATAAGATTTAATGTTGTCAAGATCAAAATTCAAAACATAGCCATGTCTTAAGTGGGGGTCTAGGGGATGGCAAAATTCGCAAATCTGCTACTTTTTATTGCATAATCGGCAAATCCACTACTTTCACTAAATTATATTGAAAATGAAAACCTTGTTCACAACACTTAATGTTCCTCTTAATATTCTGTGACAAAAATGTCTGTTTTAGTCTTTTTGTTTTTGGATCTGTTCACTGAAATGCCATAAAGGCGTACAAATCTTGTCTCCATTTTCAGCATCAAAAAAGTGCATGTTTTGCCAATGATAATAATTATTCCCCCAAGAAATAGTGATAAAAATACACCAGGGAATAAGTAGACTGAGATAACAGTGACATTTTTTTAGAAAATTTCATAATATCGAGGAAAATTTGATAAAGGCTTGTAACGTCGAGAATTTGTTATACACAGGATTCGTTAAAGCGAGAAAATTAAACAGAGTTAGGCAGACATTTTTTGCAATACCGGAGTATTGGTCATACTCGTCTCCAGGTTTCATAACATCCGGATTCCATTGTAGGTTATTCCTATGATTGATTCAATAAACATAATTAATTCTGCAATCCTGATAAGGTTTTGAACCTTTTTGAAGTGGCATGAAGTGATAGTACCAAGGAAGGATAAACATTTTAACTTGTCTCAAAAACTCAAAAAACCAATCATTAAGAATTTTGCTCTCAAAATAAAAGGAGGCACATGTGATATTTTGTAATCCTAATGGGATGATTCCCTGGAAAATGGTGTGGCCAGAAAATTTATAAAAAACCCCATACCAATGGAATGAATTAGCCCTATTCCCAGAATGAGAAGGAAGGTTTCCAGTTTAATATTGTTTTTATTGGATGATGATGAAAAATATGAGTTTGGATAGAATTGTGGCTTTTCCTTGGAGCTCATTTTAGTTTAATTTTACATGTTTTCAACTAATTAAGACATTTATCAGGAAAGTGTAACCATTTTCTACCCTACAGTTAAACTCTTGCATTATCCTGGGGTCTTATTTCATATTCTTATATAGATTGCCAAAACTGTGTTGTGTTTAATCTGCCTGTTCATCATTACCTATGGATGTCCGACATTGCGCACAGAGAGTGATTAGCACCAATTTTAGAAAAATAACAAACCATGTAAATGTAATATAAAAATTAATTCATCAGAAAATTTCCTTATAGATATGGTTTCCTAGAAACAAACAATGCTATTGAAAAAAATAGTGTGGTAATTATAGATTGACAAAACATTTAAAGGTGTCTGCCATTACCCATTACTGCCTAAGTTAAATTTTCAAACCCAATGGTTCATTGATGCCAATATTTCAAAAACCCAATGTTTCATTGATATTGATTCTCTGGAATAATCTGTTTGCCTCTGAAACTTTATTTGTCTGATTTACAGCAAATAGCCTTTTGGGACCATGGGCTCATACAACAGTCTCTTCTCTTGAGTAGCCTTATTTATCATGACACCCTTGTATTATCAACAGAAATTTATCTTTGATTGCACAATGTGCCACCAAAAGAAAAAATACTTTTACAGACAATTCAGTTTGCTCTGTTTGCACTATTTAGCGTTATCTTCAAAATATAAACAATTCACACTTTACTGGAAGTCCTAAAGATCCTAAGATGCCTAAGGATCAATGGCTCTAAGGCAAGCATACAAAAAATGAAAGCCATATTACAAAAATGTTACTTTCATCTCACTTTATTAAAAGTAAAACTGGCTTTGTTTTCTATCAAACGCAACTTGTGTTGTCTCTTATTCTCTTCCCAATCGTAGAAAACAAGTGATGTCTGGGGTAAATTTTAGTTATTTTAATTGGACGATAGCAAACAAGTTTACTATTTCGTGGCGCTCAAAATGGGTAGGAAGGTTACTCTATTACTATTGTAAGGAGGTACGCTGCGTAGGCATTATAGATAATGTGGCGGAGCTCTAAGTGAACTTTAAAAAGGTGTTTATGGCGAGAATTTCAACACATTGTGATTGAAAACGTGTAAATGTTGAACTGCATTATTTTAACATTCTGTGAAATGATTCAGGGCAATTCAAAAAGTTTCTATAAAGTAAGTAGCCTAGGAACTCATGAGTGGCCGAAGTAAATTATGTTTGCTAATAATACAAACCATTGTCAAGAATCCCTGCTCTATGACTTGGATCTTTAGGATTAAGATTTTTCGGCGTATCAGCAGCTATTGATATGTTGGCTAAAATAAGCACCAAGATAGAAAATAAAAGGACACGTAATAATTCGGCGTTCGACGACATCTTTCAGCATAACTCGACACTCGACGGCAGCCCTTATGAATTGATCACCGTGGCGAAAACTGCGTGGCACCTGCGTCTTCTCAGCGGTTCAATAACATGTCTGAAAGCCGGAATGAAGAAATTGACAAATTACCGAACTGCCTTCTCGAACAATATCTCAAATAGCGTAGGAGATTTCTTTTGATTTTTTGTCGATTTACTTTTTCTTAATTCGACAAGATTTTTGTAGTATCAAGGACTTTAACCGCAGATAAAAAGGCTTTGTTTCGTTCCAACAGTCTGTTTTCTGTTTTTTGCTGAGTCCGACAATCATTAATGCGATTTAGAGGCCTAATGACGAGAAGGTTCTTCCTTTATTTGTAAAAAAACAATAATTTTCGGGAGGCCAATCAAAAACAGGTACGTTAACTTTCGGTATGATTAAAATGCACGGTAAGCGAAGGAACCCAATAATATTGTTTGTAAGGTCTAGCAGCCTTGATTTAGACGGTCAGATTATATAATGATCATGACATATTCAAAACTGTTACGCCGGAAGAACGTTTCGACAACGGAAGAAGGAACATTTTGGAATATTCCGGCTTCATATGATAGTATCTTTTTTGTCAATGACTCAATAACTTAATATGAAAGGCTTGTTCCCTGGTTTAGAGAGTAGAGACAGTTCCAAGTCTGAAACTATATCAAAATCATAAATAAACAATATCTATCAGGGCCTCCGACGCCGGGGGGCCATGGGAACTTTTTTGCAAAAAATAAAGCTTTTACCAAAATCTTTAGTTATGGATGCTAAATTTTCCCTTGTCCCTCCCCAACTTTCCAACCTGTGTCGGAACCCATGTCAACGATGGTTTTGTTTTCCTATTTCGTTACTCAAGTAAAAATGAGGTTGAAAGAGTTGAGGAAATAGGTTTTAGTGACCCTACTAGGGGAGGGCCATTATTTAATCAGCTGATAAACGTTAGCATAATTCCAAATCAGGATTTTTTCTTCCAGAGACGGAAGTTAAGGCTTTCATTGGGAGGGGGGGGGGATGCTGAGGCTCACGATTTTCCAACAAGATAACATCTTGGATCATATCTAATTTTAATAAAACGTAACACTGCACAGTTTGATGAAATTAGGTGACTTAAATTTTTGTTGCTCGAAGAACAATCCATTAATGATTTTGGATATCGCGATTGACATCTTATAAGGCAATTGGTGATAAAAGAAGTCGACCGATGAACTGTTGACAAGTCATTCAAAATATCAAAATTATTGTCACTTCTTCAACTTAAAAAATAGCAGTAAACTAAACGTTGACCTCTCAAACCGGGGTGGGAGGGGGGGGGGGTTGGGCCCCCTATGCCCCCTAAATTTCCGCCACTGGTTTCTTCTAATTTCAAAGCCTCTTGACACTTACTTAGAAATCAGTTTCTCTAGGCTCTCGAAATTGTAAAAAAGCAATAACTAACTATTTTTGCTTAAAAAACTCAATCTTATTCGACTTTTCTCATTTCTGTCTGTGAAGTCGAACTTTTAATTAGACAAATGACACAATCAGTGTCGTAGTGTTATCTTTCTTTCTTGATGGGGGGGGGGAGTGAAAGAGATGCAAAACCATATTTTACCGACAGAAATTCTTTTGCTACATTCGGCATAAGCATTTTTTGTTATTTTAAATGTAATTCTACCGACGAGTTCTCTGAAAGTAGGGGTGGTTGACGCCCCCCACACTCTCTCGTACGCTACGCCCCTGGACACAATATTCTGCAATATAAGGGAAAATGGGAGTCATATTTCCCTCTATTGCACGTATCGTGTGCTGCAAAATTCATGCTATTACATCACACTGATGGCACTACAGGTGCACATATTGTTCTGATGCGGAGTCCTTTTGTCGTCCTGATGTTCATATTGAAAGTGGTCGTTGTTGCTATTCTGCTAACATCTGTTACTTTAACTAAACAATAGCTACGCAAGCCAAATGCGGCAAATTTTCATTAAACGGAATAGATGATGCTATTTTCAATTCACCTTGGAAACCTTTGATCTTATACAGAAAATCAAGAGGCCGCCTAAAGAAGAAACCATCTGAGGGTCAGGGGTGGTGCTAGAAACCAAACCATGTTCTGTCGACAATCTCAGAAAAAGTGCCGACGACTATGAAAACGGTTGCCGACATATTTTATGAACTCCCTTTTACAGTCTCTATAAATCTTTAAATGTTTTGAAAATAAATAAGAAAGGTTTTTATCCGTCAATCTAATCATGTATACTTTCTTTAAATTCAAATCATGTTTAGTTGTAATAGAAACGTTTGGGGCCTGGGACCTAGTACAACAGTCTATAAATAGCACTTGGGGCATTTTTTACCTGGGGTCTGCATGTTATCTTTTTGAGCATATCAAACTGCCTATCTCTATCAATCTTCATGTTGGTATCACAACTAGCAGCTGCTGGGGTCTGCACCCTATCTTTTTGAGCATGTCAAATTACATGTTGGTATTTTTCATCTCTTCTAGTTTTCAAACTGGTATCACAACTGGCAGCGATATTATTAGAATAAATGCTTTTGGGGCCACGGACCCAATACAACGGTCTAAAAGTAGCACTTGGGGGCATTTTTCAACTGGGTTCTCCATCTTATCTTGTTCAGCGGCCAAAACTACCCTTGTGGACGAAGCTTCATGCTGGTATCCGATTTTGCACAACTCTCTCAAAATCTGGGACTATTTTTATATTAATTTTATCTGACTCTGTAGCACAATTCAGCACTGATGGAATAGGGAAGAATCGTCAGATTTCCACTCCCCTGATTAAGCAAAGGGAGGTAAGTTAGTCCCTTTCGTTGTTTGCGCCTTTTTGCCGATTTCAAAAATTGCTGATAATTTGAAGCCATTAGAAAACAGTGCAGAACTTAATCTAAACTTAGCAAAACATTGCTGCCCGTCAGGGCCGTAACTAGCTGTTGCACTCAAAAAGGGTTTTCCAGGCCTCATATGACGAAAAAGGTGGGTTAGCAATCCTATATTTGTCGAGTAGTTTAAAAATGTATCCTTCAAGCCTTCTTTAGTTGGCTAAACACACCTATTTTTGCAAAAGAATCTTTTCAAGAGGGTGTCCTACCCATCATATCCCCCATAGTGACCAGTGGCATCGCCAAAGGGGTTGAGGGGGCGTTGTACCCCCCTAACACTTGTCCCTCGGCGCACAAAGGACTTTTGATGGGCAAAAGAAGACATCTTTTTCACACGCTGTAGTATAATTTGCGATAATTGTAACGTATTAGCATTTCTGTAGCCGTTGAACTTTTAAAGTATGAAGCTTTAGTATAAATTTTGAAATAAAAACGCAAAAGAGGTGCATATAAGATTACATATCTTATGACCACATAATTAAAGATTGAGACACGTCCTTTTTGTCGGCATAAGTGATTTATGTACCCCTCCGAAAAATATTTTTTGCTTCGCCTCTGAGAATCAGTCATGAAAAATATCACAAAGCGAATCAGAGATTTGACTATTGTTTAGGTTTAATGAAATAAAAAGCAAAGAAAGTCAAACTACTGCTAAAACAAAACTTGTCCTGAAAATGCTAATTTCAAGCTTCATGGTAAGTTCCAATCCTTTGCCTGTGAAAGTGTTGGAGTTCCTTCCATCACTACTTTGTAGTCGTTTGTTTTTGGATCAATTTTGTAGCTGAGACAGCCAATGTTTTTTCCAGGCTTTGGCATCAAGTTGCATTTCAAGTTCACTAAAAATGAAATAGGTTAATTGAGAAAAGTTTTTGAGAAATCTTCTCGATGTGCAAATGAAGAGTTGAACACTAACTTGTTATTTATCTCAACCTGTATCACAGATTCAAATATTTTTGTATGGAGGGCTTAAATGTCTTTTACACGGTTGTTCTATTGTGGCATAAAGCGGAAAATCACCCAGGGGGGGGGGGGTACTTACTACTTTTCTATACGGGGGAGGGGTCCATGGCAGCAATTTTTTCTTGACCCCCAAATATTGAGTTACAGTTTTGACGAGCCCCAAATATTGATGTTCAAAATTTTGAGACCCTAGATATTGTTATATATTTTCTTATATATTTCATGATGTTTGGTTTTTATTTACAACTTTGCTTTCACTTCTCAGACCCCAAATATTGAATTTTTCTCAAGCTCTAATTCTCAGACCCCAAATATATATATTTTTTCTAAAATCTCAGACTTCAAATATTGACATATACCTCCAGTATAGAAAAGTAGGGAGTACCCCCCCTGGGGCAAAACAGTGGCTGGATCAATACCGTAAATCTTCGATTTAGCTGGGGGCTTATTAATTTTTGATATTTTCGGACGGGGCTTATTCGAGGGGGGGGGGCTTATACGAGGGGGGAGGACTTATAAAATTATTGTAGACAATAAGAAGACATTATTAAAAGACCTTGTTTATTTCAGTAGGAATTTCTTTATGAGCATTTAATTAATTACTACCAAAAGTACGAATTTGTCGTGGTAATTCAATAAAACGCCATAGGCAACCTCAGATGGCAAAAACCGTCAAATTGAGGGGTCCATATACGGTAGCAGTAGGGGATTATTCGAGGGGGGCTCATTGGAAATTTGTAGTTCTAGGGTGGGGGCTTATTCGAGGGAAGGGGAGCTTTTTCGGAGGGGGGGGGCTTTTTCGAGGGGGGGGGCAATTCAAGGATTTACGGTATCCAAAAGATCCAAATGCAGATTTTTGTTCATTTTACGGAAATCGTCTATGATTCCTGAAAAACAATCGACGTTAGCTAAATATGATGTTGGCTAGATTTCACATAAGTAAGAAGCTTCTTGATACAAAGTGCATTGGGGAATATTTTATATAATTTTCGGAATATTTTGGTAATTTTTAATTCCTGTATGTTTTAAGAGAGCAGCGTCTCAAGAACAATTTTTCGTGGTCACCTGATCACAAAAATGCATATATCAGCAAATACTGAATATGTATGCACCAATCAAAAGATCTTTTTGAGATATTGCATTTCATGCAAGTTTTATCTTCACATATAGAATAATGATCAAGTTATGACCATTTAAATCCTGGAAATTTTAAAAGTCACGTGATTACAAAGTGAATATGTATAAATCAATCGAAAGAGCTCTTCGAGACCTTGCATTGTATGTATATTTTACTGTCATTTGACGACTATCAATCGAGTTATGACCATTTTTACACTGAAATTTTACCAGAAAGACGTCATCGATTACTTGACAACAAAGGATTTTCCGAAGAGGTATGGAATTTTCTAAAAAGGGTGCAAATCGAAATTTTTAAGTTTAGAGCTTAGTTTAACGGGATCTGTTGAAAAAAACAAGGTTAGCATGTTTGTTAGATTGTGAGAATATATGCCCTGTCTATTAAGATCAATTATTAAACATCGTTGAGGTCAACTGTTCGTCAACTTCATCATAAAATATCGAGAATAACTCAAACACTTAGTTTCTAAGAGGAACATTGACACTTTTTAGAAGGTCTTTTTAGAAGGTCTTTTAGAAGGTGAGTCCTACAAATTCAAAGGTAACACAGGTAGGTTTTCTTGACTCTACTTACCAAAACAAATAGGGACATCGCAGTAGTCCCATCTGACTGACTTTGATGTTGTGTAGCACCATGGCCCATCTGGCTCACCATCTGGATTTCTGCAATAGTTCTCTTCCAACCCTTCCCATGGATGTGTTTTTGCCGTTAGCTGCCGATGAGAGTGGGGCTTATGAACATTCCAATGCTGGCAAGTAAGGCCTCCAACTGTCTTGTTCACAGTGCCTCTGTACTTCTGTCCTTGTTTTGTTTTTTTACACCCGTCTAAAATTGAATGCGAATCAAAATTATTAGATATTTAACATAAATTGATAGATAAATCAGTTGCCCGATGATTGCATTAAGCGTGAAATTTAGATTAATCGTGTACAGCTCTGCCTATTTGGCATCGAGCACCAGATAGAGGACCTTTACACAGGAATATTTCGATGTTTATTTGTGTAACAGTTAATAACATAGTATTATCTATGCTACGTATGACGTTTGTCACTTTTGCTTTTTAACTGTTTGGATTTTTATAAAAGTCTCTATGCTTTTTTTGGATGCCCTCCAATGACCTTGAACTGATTTTGGAATTTTTCATTTCATTTCATTTTAAAATATTTATACAGGATAAATCGTTTCAGTATATACATATAAAACTGTATAGTAAACTGCTTTCCAAACGAGTCCTGTCGGGTGAAGAAAAAAGAAATATATAATAATAATCAAAGTTTAGTAAAAGAAATGTTAAGATGTTTAAAATATTAAGAATTTAGTTCTGACTTTCGGTATTTTTATCGAGTTTTGTTGTTTCTTGGTGACTTTAAGTGTAACAGCAATTCTAAGTAGTTGTACATGGGTGATTGTAGTTGCTTCGTGATAGATCTTCTGACAATTTGACATGCACGTCGTTTTACAGATGTCATTATCGGTGTCAGCTTCACACGTTGATGATTGTTGTTGTTGTTGATGCCAGCAGCACGCTCGTGTATTCGGTCAAGTTTTCCAAGTGATGTTCTCGAAAAATTTATGTTAAAAGTTCCACAATAAGTAAACAAAGCAATCGCAAGTTTTTTGTTGAGAAAGTAATTGGAATTTTCACTTAGAGAAAGTAACAGGGTTGAATCAAGATGAAGTCCCAAGAATTTGTACGTTGATTTTTGGTTTAACTTGGTTCCATTGATTTCTACGTTGAGCGGAGTAGCCTTTTTGACACGTGCAGAGGTACCAAAGATCATGGGTTCGGCCATTTTCGGCCAGTTGTCTGTCAGACATTTGTGAACCTCAGTCCTCAGGAATGTCCACAATTAATTTTTTCTGAATCGATTCTGAGTCTTTTCCTTTGGTATAAACTACGGTATCGTCAGCATACTTAATAATACTGGAATAGCATAAGCAGTTTCTTATCGTCGACATCTTCTAAGTGGAGGAGGAAAATTGTTGGACCAAGAATTGATCCTTGCGGAACTCCCCTGAAGATTTTTTTATGCTCATAGAAATTTACTACACACTACTATAAACTACGGTACAATAACGATACCACAGGAGGCATGAATCTTCATAACAACCCTGTGGCCATTCACAATTATCGCAAAGTCTGTTCCAAAAGTAATGCTAGGCACGCCACCCAGGGAGGATAAATATATACCAGGCGAGACACCCAGGAGGGTTTGAATGTTTGCATACACTCAGCTACAGTTTTATTACAGGCTTTGATTATGGAAACTACAAAAATAAAAAAAAGAAACAATAAAATAACTGTCTGCAATTAAGGAGGGTAGCGGCGATTCCCCAGAATCGTTGTAATGCATGAATTTATCTCAGAATGGGAAGTCTTCTGATAGCTGGACATCATAAAATACGAGTCGATACGATTAAGGATATAATTTTCAAACCATGTGAGTTCGATTCCATTTATTCCATAAGATGGTAGTTTTGCTAAAAGGTACGAGTGGCTAACCGTTTCAAATGCTCTACTTAGGTCAAGGTATGTAACTCCTGTCAAAATAGGCCCTCATCCATGTTCTTTCGAATATCATCAAGGAGAAGATTGCAGGCTAATTCTGTTGATCTGTGTAGGCGGAAACCAAATTGACTGTTTTTCAGCAAGAAGTGGGTAGATAAATTTTCAGCTGGTAGATAAAATTAAATTATTGGAATGGAGAAAAAGAATATCAAGTAGTGCAGTAGTACAGAGATATGAAATCGTCAAATCGTATCCTCACCTTTTGTAAATAATCCAAACCTTGCTGCAAATTCCAGGACCTCTGCACAAGATTTTTGAACAGTATGACACAGTGATCTGCATGGAGGTAAACTGCCAAACTTGTGCAGCAGTGGAGGGGCCAGTAGAGAGCATGCCAAATGCCTTGTCAGCTTTGAGCAGCCAGTGCGATCCAATGCTGCAAATGCTTTGAATATGTAAGACTCGACGATTCTTGTTTGGTTGCTTTGTTTGAAAAAGTTTATCTTTCCTGTTTCTTGGTACCTTAAGCCTTTGCAGAAGGCAAGAGAAAGCGGTTTTCCAATTTGAAGCAGCTCTGGAAGAGATTGCGGAATCCTCAATGCAGTCACCCCGTATGCTGAAACTAATGCCAGGAAACAAAAAAACTGAAATCGCTTCATTTTAGCAGTTTTTTTCTGCAGGAAATCCTCCTTCTAGAAGCAGAAGATGACCTTTACTTGACATGTACCACGACTGACCCAATCTATCACACCCAGGCGCTATTTATAGTAAATATAGAGGATCAATTAATCATTAAGGTCAACGGAGAATGAATGATGGATAGATAAAAGATTATTCCGTCGGCATCCTGGAAAAACCAGACTCTAAGATAATAATAATAATAATAATAATAATAATAATAATAATAATTTATTTATTTACAGTAGGCGTTCTTTACAGTAATAGCTAAAACGATAAGCTAATTAAAGCTTACTCTTTACAGGAATAAAAATGATAATATTATACAGTTATATAAAAGATATTTAAAGAAATAAATTAAAATACCTAGGATTTAATTAGATAAATAGTTGAAAATAATCATGTTAGACAATTCATGTAAAGAACCCGATCTGTGCTACAACGGTTCTACATAGCCTGCAGCTGCAATTATCCTTCCATTGTTCGATCTTTACTTTAAAGGTGTGAAGAGTATTTAGGTTTTTCAGGTTTTCTGGTAGATTGTTCCAAAGATTGCATCCTAAATAGGACAACCTTTCGATTCCACGAGTGATGGTTCGAGTTTTTGGGATTTTCATTAATCTACCGTTTCTAAGATGGTAATGGCTGCTCTTTTGTATGAATATTTCATTCATAAAGCTTGAATTGAGTTTATGTACAGTTTTGTAGATCTCAACCATTAGTAGTTGAAGGTTTCTTTTGTGTATGGAGACACATTTTTTTTTTAATCAGGAGAGTATCAAAATCTGACACTTTGTTTTTGCATGCGATACGCAGTGCCTTTTCATGTATATGGTTTATCTTATTATTTAGGCTTTTGTCACAGAACATCCATACAAGTGGGCAATAGCTAAATTGGGATAGAATAAATGCCCTCATTGTTTGTTTGAGTTGTTCTGTGCTTAAGTAGCATGAAATGTGGGAGAGGGCGTGCAATTTTTGACTAGCCTTTTTACACAGTGTTTTTATGTGTGGCTTAAATGAGAGTTTTTTGTCTACAGTTACACCAAGTAGTTTTCATCGCTGCTTTCGTTGATTAGGGTGTTGTCTATTTGTATGGCTAAGTCATTACTTTGATCGCCAAAGGTCATGAAGTGGCATTTGTCCCCATTTAACTTCATACAGTTGTCTTTAAACCATTCTGCAACTGTTGAGGAATTTTTCTCTAATTTTTCAATTACATGTGAGGGGTTAATGTCGCTCGCATAGAGGGTTGTGTCATCTGCATAGTTGCATATTTCTATGTCTGGTTTCAACATGAGCAGATCGTTAATGTAAATATTAAATAAGAGAGTCCCTAGAACTGACCCTTGTGGAACTTGTGGAGCAGTGGTCATGCCCTCCCTTCAAATTTGAAAAAAATGAGGTGTGGCCAGATTTTACCACGCCCAATTTTTAGTTGATGAGTTCCTTTTGAAAATTTCAATTTTAAGGCTTGTGACTTATAAAAAAAATTTTGATTAACTTTTGGAATGAGCTTTTCTTATTTCATAGCAATCATCTTGTTACACCATGAAATGACCTTTATCTTATAGCTGTGACACTGTTTGGGTTTGTTGGTAATTTATACAGACAGAGTTCTGACAATTTCCAAACAGAACTTTACAAAAGATATTAAAAAACATTAAAAAACATAAGTTTAGTATAGTAGATAAACCTAACTTAAATAAAAAATTGTGTTGTTCTCCTAATTTCTTTCAATTTGCAGGCTGAAATACATTTGTAAATTTTAAACAATAAATCACATGAAACTGAATGGGGGCTTTTTGGTCATCCTTTCCACAAATAGTCTTATCATCAATCTATTGAAGGTATTTTAAAGCCATCATGATTAACTAACAACCCCAAAAGAACTGATAGACGAATAAAACAAATAGGCAAATGAAAATGCAATGTAAATATTGATATGAAATATATAGGAAGCTAAAATAATGGATAGGCCTAGTTGCAAAATGTTTTCTGCAAAGTTAGACTTAATAGAAAAATACCTTGCAAAATAAGTTTAGCTTAACAAAAACATTGATGTTTCCACATATACTTGTGGTAAATATCCACATAATTGGATTGTCTTTACTAAATCTAGCAAACAAGGCTTGTAAATGAAATAATTTGATCTTGTAAATTTTCAAATACATCAAAAGTTGTAATAATGAAATAAAACTGTTTAACTAACAAGATCAGTAACATGCTTAACTTGTCTCTGGTCATTTCATTTCAACATCTATAAGTAGTAAAAAGGTAATTTCAACTACAAGTGAAGTCAGTAGAGCTTTGAGTTTGACTTTAATTGTGTGTAAAAACAGTGTTATTGCATGTGATAAAAAACAAACAATTCAAGAATAACTTTAAGCAAATTTTGGCATTCACTATCCATTTACTACAATCTTATTGTCCTAATCATAATATGGTAACAATGCTTTTAAATGGCTTAACAGTTTCTAAATATGCTGCTAAATGTCTGGAAAGTTTAAGCTCTCAAATCTGTTGGTTTGGGAAATAACACTGCTATCTCCACCGTCCATCTCCAGTGAACAGCACCAAGATTTGGCATTCATTAAATCAAGAAGATTCTCTGCAAATGTTCAACTAGTAACAATTGATTACTGAAAAGGCTGAGAGTTTGGTTTGGTTGCATAAAATGCTCCTGCTCGCTGATTTTATGTCCAAAAATTGCCTTTTGTGCCTGTCACTTCTCCACATAGTGCAACACCATTAAGGCTGAAAACCCTGTCATTGCCATAAAATGTTCTGGAGATTAACATGAGTCGTGGCTGCTAGTCAATAATCTATTCCTTGCATTTTACTTACAGAGAATTACCTCCCATCTCGTGGAACTAGGCATAGCAGCGCCGCCATCGATGCCTCGCATTCGCGTTCACGAAATAACACAGGCAGGACGGTTCTGATGATTATAATGATGGTCATGCCCTCTCGAAATGGCATGACTAGCCTTTGTTCTCTCCTGCGTCACTCCTATTGGTAGGCATGACCAAACATAGGGAACCAGCGTTATGGGCATGACTAAAACACAGGGTTTGGTCATGCTCATAGATGGTCATGCCCGGCATGACAAGCATGACCGCTAGCTACGCCACTGGGTTTAAGCAATCAAAAGGCCTTTGATAGGTCCACAAAGACAGCCCCGACACACTCTCCGGCGTCTAGACTAATCTTACATTTTTCAGCGCAGTAAGGCATGTTGTGCACTATAGTTTTCTCGAAATCCACAAAGCAAAGGGTTAAGAAAGCCTAGTGAAAACGGTTTCATCTGAGATTCCATTAGTCTTTCGTATACTTTTGAGACTGGTGGAAGGACCGTGATTGGTCTATAGTTTTTCGTAACATGTATTTCATCTTTTTATGAATTGATGAAATATCACCAGCTTTAAGCTTAGATGGGAAGTTGCATTCATCCCAAAGACCCTAGGACCCCTAGGACCCTGCTGAATACAAAAAGGGCTCTTAACTATGAGAGATGCCAGTACTTCCGCACAGCTTGGCTCAACTGTTAGGGCTGTAATTATTGCGCTTGTCTGATTACATGTCGCTTTCCTAAATGTACGGGGGCTACTCAGTTTGAATGATGTAGCACGTGAAATGGGGTGTCTCCCCTTTAATTCTAGTGGGCTATTCCTGCAAGTATAGACTTTTTTCCGACAAACTAAAGGCAGGGCCAAAGAGAACACACGTAAATTAATGGTAGCTAATATTTCGCCCCAGCTATTTTGCCCTTTGCTTAATTGGGTCCTAGGGATCCAGGTGTTCTACGGTCGCAGGGTCTGGTTTTTCCCCGATTCTGTCGACGATAATCGAAACGAATGTTGCTTGACAGAAAACAAAGGACAATCATTCTGAAATACACGGTCCTATTCTACGTCCATTTTCACCTAATGGATGAAAAAAACTGATCATGTAAATTGGAAAAAAGGACCATCAGTCATCATTTACCTTTCACCTATGAGAGTTGAACTTTTGCAGCATTTATCATCATCATCATCATTATCATGATCATCATGATCATCATGACCATCATCATCATTATCATGATCATCAGTATTTGCCAAATTTGGAGATACTTCATTGAAGTTTTATATTTTAGTTTATTCAGAAGAGTGAATTCTATCAAGTCCCATTATGCTATTTTCAGATGTCTCTCATACTCATGCAACCATCTGATGTTTTTTTCCCGAAAAGAGTGCCCTTAAGCATCTTAAAAATTCATATGTAAAAATTGCTGGCATTTGGTTAATGTTCCATAGATCCCCATAAAAGAACAAAGGTACTAAGATAGGTCTTTTGGACCATGGGAACTGTTCCTTTGTTCCTTTGTGTTAGGAACGTCTCGTCAATTTTAGGATATGCTGCTAACGTGCCGTTATGGGAATTACGGACCTTTGGTCGCTCGCTTTTCCTATACATTCTAACATAAATTTGAATATACGTTCTCAAGTTCCTTCGTTCTGCGTGCGCTAAGTACTTTTGGGCCGATTTTCTTTTGCTCATTTGAGTTTAGTCACGTTTCTCCGGAAAACAGCAAGACGAAATTCACATGTCTCTTGAGAAGTTTCAACCTATATAAGGCGCTGCAAGTTTTCAGCTTGGCCACAAAACTAGAAGATGTCTTCGATGGTAATACGTTGGAAAGACGTCCCAGGAGCTGCAAAGCTGAAGAAAAGGCTGATGTTAATAGCTAACGTGCACGGAATATTTCAGTGCCCTATTGGTGATTGCGAGCATGAAGGCTTCCGCAGTCAAAGAGGTTGCAGAAAGCACGTTACAAATTCGCATCCTTGGTTCTTCTATTTTGACGAATACCCAAAAGATATTATGGATCATAAAGCTGCGCCACAAAACACATGTGACGAGAAGACCAACGAGTCAAAGGATGGCAGTTCGAATATCATTCCAGATGACGTCATTTTTAGTGAAACGTTTGCCAAATGGATGTGCAGCTCTACCGGTGGTGCTCGCACGAAGGCACACGCAAATCAGATTTGCTCTCGTGTCCTCAAGTTTATTCAGTACTCTCAGGACGATCTTA